CCGCTCCCGGCAAAAAGTGAGTTGGCAACCCTACTGAGAAGTCATCTGATGAACCACTGCTTTTATATTCTTTTTTTCCCCCCACAAAACTTTTATTTTGGATATAATAACACATTTAACATTTACTTTCAGTTGACAAATACCCATGGACTGCTTTTATATTCTTAAAGGGAGGCTGACCCATTATTTTAAACATCTCTATCCCAGTAGCCTTTGGTTCATTTTGAAACTTGTTTTATAACCAACAGCACCTAATTTTGAAACATATCATTTCAATACCCAACAAGTGCCTTAATCATGGCATGGACCAACACAGCTACCTACAATTTAAGCCTATTAACTTCCACAAAATTGTAGTTAAACTGGACTGTAATGAATGGGGAAATCAGTATGTCTGCTGTGACTTATTTATACTATATAGGCTCAATGAAGCCTGTTGAGTGCTCCAGAGAGAACCATGAGCAGTTTCCTCAAGAGGGCAATAAAATAGCTTCAGGGCCAATCGATGATCCAAAACTGGCCCTGAATACAGTCAACCCATCTCACATCCAGCACTGCAGAGAAGTTGCCATCTGAGTGCTCCATCATGAAGTCTGATCGATGTTCAGTGAATGACCTGGCTAATCATGCACTCAGAATCAATCTGGCCGCATGATGAAATAATTACTTTGCTGTATGGTCAGCTGTAAACTGCATTGGGTGGGCTGTATATTCAGCACTGTTTAGTTGTTGTTTTTCTTAACCATGTGAGTACATATTTTCTAAAGGCAGAATGACTACCACAACAACAGTAACATTAATATGGGTGGTATTTCTGAAAGGGTCCAACATGTTATAAGTGTGCAGACTCTAACCTGGGAGAACCAGGTTTGATTCCCCACTCCTCCACTTGCAGCTGCTGGATGACACTGGGCAAGCCATAGTTCTGACAAGAGCTGTCCTTGAAAAAGAGCAGTTTCTGTCAGAGCTCTCTCAGCCCCACCTACCTCACAGGGTGTCTGTTGTGGGGAGGGGAAGGGAAAGGAGTTTGTAAGCCACTCTGAGACTCCAAGTGAAGGGCGGGGTATAAATTCAATCTCCTCCTCTCCTCCTCCTCTAGATTCTGATGACACTGTGCCTTTGAAAAGCATTTAAATTTTGGCAGCCTGAGATCTCCTCCTGATCTTGCCACCAACCATAGAGAGGGTGTATGTGTCTGTGTCGGGGGGGAGGGGGAAGAGTAGCATGTGAACGGGTGGGGAGGGGGGGATGCCAGCCTCCAGGTGGGGCTTGGGGTTCCTACAGATTTACAGTTCCAGACTACAGAGATCAGTTTCCCTGGAGAAAACAGATGCTCTAGATGGTGGAGTCTATGGCATTGTACCCCACTAATGTTCCTGTCCTCCCCAGGTTCCATTCCCAAATCTCCCAGTTTTTTCCACCATGGATCAGGAAACCTTACCCCCCCCCATCCCCCACCAGTGACCAGGGGGACCTGGCAACCCTAGAACAGGGCTATGCTTCTACTTTAATATTACCCCCCCCTTTTTTGGTAGAAATTTGATAATCTAAAGTTTAAAAACAACTTCCTAAGTAAATGCTTTTATGTTGGCTTTTAAAAGAGGACTGCCTTTATTGGAAGGAACCGGAATTCATTTTGTAACATGTTGTCAATGTGTTGTGTTTCTGTGCTGTTCTCATTGTGCTGATGTAATTTTTTTATCATACCTAGCATGGAAGGTGACACGGGAGCAGGAGGCAGCACTGAAGAACTGGGAGGATCAAGTTTCATTGTGGGTTTGATAGATCTGTTCACCACTGGGGCTGAAAATGACAAAACAAACATGTTTTTTGACATGTCAAAACTGAAATCATGAATATTTATATCTGTTGTAGCCTCAAACAATGTCCTTTGGTATTGTTCTTGCCACAGTATTAAAAACTCAGTATTTGCTCTTTATAGACCGAGTTCAGACTGGCAGTTTGAAGCGGGAGGGAGTCGTGGCAAAAAAGACCCGGAATAAACTGTTCTGGGTTTTCCCGTTCACACTGCAGCGACTGATGCGGGAGCATACTGGGAGGAGGTACAAGGGAGCATTCACACTGTTGGCCCAGAGGCACGGCTGTAAGGTGCAGCTTCTTTTTGGTAATCTGGAGATGTGCATAAGCGCACAAGAAAAACCGTGGCTTTTGGTGTTCCCACTTTGTTGGTGAACATAAGAACATAAGAGACGCCAATGTTGGATCAGGCCAAGGCCCATCCAGTCCAACACTCTGTATCCCACAGTGGCCAGAAATACCAGTGCCATCAGGAGGTCCACCAGTGGGGCCAGGACATTAGAAGCCCTCCCACTGTTGACCCCCCCAAGCACCAAGAAGACAGAGCATCACTTGCCCCAGAGCCCCTATCTATACCTTGTGGCTAATAGCCACTGATGGACCTCTGCTCCATATGCTTATCTAATTCCCTTTTGAAGCCGTCCATGCTTGTAGCCGCCACCACTTCCTGTGGCAGTGAATTCCAAGTGTTAATCACTCTTTGGGTGAAGAAGTACTTCCTTTTATCCGTTCTAACCCGACCGCTCAGCAATTTCATGGAGTGCCCACGAGTTCTTGTGAGAAAGGGAGAAAAGTACCTCTTTCTCTACCTGCTCTTTCCCATGCATAATCTTATAAACCTCAATCATGTCACCCCTCAGTCGTCGTTTCTCCAAGCTAAAGAGCCCTAAGTGTCTTAACCTTTCCTCATAGGAAATGAGTTAAGCCCTAAGCGCCTTAATCTTTCCTCATGGTGCGGGATGGACACGGGATAATCATGCTTTCCAGAGTTTGATACCACTTTCACCTGGTATCTTTTAAACTTGGGAGGGAAGCGTTACGAGTACGGCTGGGGAACAGCGGACAGATGTGCCTGTGTGAACGGCCCCTTTAATCCGGTTGTGGAACATTTCTGAAACGTGCCTATATCAGGGCAAACTGCCAGTCTGAACTCGGCCATTGTGGGAGCAAACCCTCTCCCCTAGTAGTGCACTGGGAAGTATGCTTTAAGACTCCTTAAAGTGAAACAGATATGGGACATTCAAACTGCATGCCTACAGAGCATAGCAAGAAAACATTCTAAACACTCCAGGACCTATACCAACCATTTGAATGTACGGAGAAATCATAACAAAGCTTGTATGTGATTGGTGTCCTCTGATGCTGGCAGAAGTACGTTTTGTGATAACAGCCTTGAGAACTCTGACAATCAGAAAGTCACAGATGAATTTCCTTGAAGAAGTAATTACATGAAACGAGAGAAATTATGGGGACCTCGCTGGAGAAGGAAAATAACACAGATCAGAAGAAACTTATTGGACCATTTTGTTCCAGAGGGACTGGTGGAAAAGGAAGATAATACAGACCACCAAGGACTGTTGTCTGACTTCAGAGAATACTTATGGACAGTGTACACTAAGTGCAAAAAGTATATTGTATATTGAGGAATTGTTGGATTATGCTTTGAAGTTTTGTATCTGCGGGTTTTTTTTTTGTGTTTTTCATATGTGCATGCATGTGTGAGTGTGCGTGCACCTGGAAGTCAAGGCAACCTCTGGTGACTGACCCCTACTGGGGGTCTGGAGGATATTTAGAGAGGTGGCTGAATGAAGCCTGCCCCTGCCTCCTGCCTCTGGTATTCCAAGGAGGTCTTCCATCCAAGTACTTGCCAGAGTCGGCCCTGCTGAGCTTCCGAGATCTGACGAGATTGGGCTTGCCTGGGCTACCCAGGTCAGGGCATAATTGGGGATATTGATTAATTATACTTTGAAGCTTTGTAATTGGAGATGTGTTTAGAATGTTTTCTTGTTAATCACTGAGTTTATGAATTGATGGAATTTTTATATAACAGATACGCAAAGAACAAAACAGACAGCAAAAGAGAGCATTTAAAGTTTAAATTTCATAATAAATGCATTTTATTAAAAGGAATATAGAATATAGTCTGTTACTAGGGAGCCAAACACAGCATTTCTCATTGAAGTTTGATTTAGCAGCTGTGAATCTTTTATTTTCATTCTGCAGATCACAGCATGCTGCTTAAAGCAGGAGCCTGCAACATTTGCAGAATCCCAAGATTATTATTAAAGACCCCCCCCCAAACCTCATTATTTTTGGGAAAAGTTTAAAAATGTATTTCTCTTAAGAAGTAGAAGCTAAGCTTTTGCTTACACCCATTTCTCCCTCCTCCAAGGCACTTCGCCTTTTTCTCCTGTCCCTTTATTTTGTCATCAAACAATGCACAATTTTTTCTTTCCTTTTCACCATGTTTTTGGGGGAAAGGCAAGATCTCATCAAAAGAAATGAGTATACTGTGTGGGCTGCATGCATAATTCTGATTTTTTTTGGCGTTTCTTAAAGAACACTACAGGAAAAAACAGACCTAGGCTGCAGTCACACGCACTCAATGATCCACTTTCAGTGCACTTTCCAACTGGATTTTTACTGTGTGAACTGGCAAAATCCAGTTGGAAAGTGCATTGAAAGTGGACTGAAAATTGGTTATTTAGTGTGTGTGACCACAGCCCTAGTCCTCTTACAGAACTCTAGGCTGCTTGTGCTTCAGAATGGGTGTCTTGCCTACTTACTTGGCTTAACAAAGTTGTGCAAAATGCGGTGCTTACGTTTTACAGGCTGTGACGGGCTTTCTTCAGTCGGTTCAATGTAATTGTCATCTTCCTCTTCATCATCAACAGGTACAACATAATCTGCCTGAGGAACATGCAGATGAATTAAAAGACAGTCCTCTCCTTGATGTTTGCAGGAATGTTATAATGGCAAGGTTGCTTATAAATTTAATTATGAAGAAATAAAAATGATTAAAAAGGGTGTGCCACTTAGATACAGGAGCTTCCTAATACAGGAGGACCAGTTATTACAGAATGTGATACTGTGATGGTATTGTGACTGACCAGAACTGCGTAAGTCAAAGCTTCTTGGGGCTCTTATGCATCTATACACTCCCATCCATGTCCACATGCACAGGAGACATCAAGGAATGCTTCCCATGCAACAACATTTCTGTGTAACATGTAACATTATCCGGATACTGAAAATCAGAGAACAGCCCCTGGTTGTTCAGAGCTCCTTGGGAACTTCATGCCAGGGGAGAGACTGACCTCCTTGAGAGCTCCATGTTGCCTTCATCTAGATTTTAGGGAGAATCTTCGTGAAAGCTTATAGTATGTATAGTGCTGTGAGCACTGGCAGAGTATTAAATGCTTCTTACAAGGCAGCCCCTGTGACACATAACTATAAGCATACATACTACAGTGGTTAGATGTCAGAGTGTGATCTGGGAGACTTTGACTCAAATCCCCACTCTGCCCTGAAACATGAGTGTCTCTGAATCAGTTACTCTCTCCTCAGCCTAACCTACTTCACAGGATTGTTTAGATAATAACATGGGGAAAGGAGAAGCATGCAAGTTCCTCAAGAGGAAGGCATGATAAAAATGTACTATACAACAAAAATGTATCATACTAACAATTCTATTGAAAGAGACTAATCACACATTCCACCTTGGAGCATGAATGCTGGCAAGATGTCAGGTTGTACAATGACTGATTTCAATAACAGGAATTTATGAACATATTTTCAGTTAGCACGTTGTCTCCCCCCCCCCCCCGGTTTGCCTTACTTGTCCAATACCATAACATGTATTTATTTGTTTAAGATATTTCGATCCGATACTCTCACCAAAGTTCCAAAGGGGACATACAGAAACAAATTTAGAATATTCCCAACTATGAAACACAGCTTGCTGCCAAATAAAACAGGGACACTAAATGACAAACTTCGATAAAATCAGATAGAAGGAAAGTAATTACAAATTTGACAGAATGGAAAGTTTTTGAGATTGTGCCAGGTGATCAGCATGGATGTACTTCGAAAGGCCTAGTCCCTGGTGCTAATCCATCCTGCCTCAGAGCAGCTGATGATTATCTCAACAAGAATGCAAACTCATACAGGCTGGTCTTTCAGGTACCCTGGTCCCAGGTTGTAGAGGACTTTATAGACAATAACCAGCAGTTTGAATTGTTCCCAGAAGAACACTGTGGGCCTTTTAAAATTGGCAAGAGATGGTTCCAACTTCTTACGTCTTCCACCAGTTTAGCTACCATGTTCGAAATCAGTTATATCTTCTGAATGTTTTTCAAAGGCAGCCTCATATAGACTATGTTACAGTTAGCCCAATCAGCATGTAATCAGTGAATGTCTTTTGAGGATGATACAAAATCAGAATTACTGGGACAGGTTCCAATATTCAGCTGTCACAGTATCTGGTATTTTAAACCAGGATTAACACTTGCAGTGAACCAGTTTGGAGACTGTCACCTCTTATTTGTTTGTGGGATCTGAACTGGACCACTGGGTTGTATCCAACCACCTGCAAGAGAATAGAACTTTCCTCTCTCCTCCCACTGCAGCCAACATACCCTTGAACTGCTGCACCTGGAATTGTGGGGGTCTGAAGGAATAGCACTGTGGAGTCTTGCAGTGGGAGAGGGGAAATTGGTGACAACCCCTCCCCTCTGCTAAAGGAAGTGCCCTCCTGCTAGAGGAAAATAACCACTGGATACAATTCATTATGGCTGCAGTCACACACACTAACTAATCCACTTTCAGTGCACTTTTCAATTGGTTTTTACTGTGTGAACTGGCAAAATCCAATTCGAAAGTGGATTGAAAGTGGATTATTTAGTGTTTGTGACGGCAGCCTATACCTATCTTTGCTCTGATCTTGGCTGTACAGAAAGCATGTTATTAAAACAAACCAATATTATGTTCAGGAACAGTCAAGTGTTTCCAGCAGATCCCTCACCTTCCATCTATTTTAAAATCTTTTATGAGTAGAGATTATAACATTTATGAAAACAGACAAGTGACACTAAGGAAATGAGTGCCTCCTGTCATCATTTGGTATTTGTGACATGTTAAAGGTTTAGTCCAAAGTATCATTTAGACTTACAAAATTAATTTCTCAGGCTTATCGCTAGCTTGATTTATCCACGAGAGTTACCTCAATGTCAGTGCATTCCTGTTGTTTCAGAGGGATTTTTGGCTTCAGAACAACGGATGGAGGTGGCAAAGAGGCCAATTTCTTTGGTTTAGATGAAGGTTGACCTGGAAGTGTAGGCAGTGGCTTGGCAACGGGCCGAGGCTGCTGTTGGCTAGATCGATTGTCTATAAATGAGAAAGGAAATACAGGAATAATGGTTGCTTACAGCCTTTTCCATATTTACCTTATCTACTTATAGAGCAGTTTCACCTCTTCTCATGGCAAAATCTGGGGAACGCAGCCATTTTAGTCAAAAGTATCTCTTATTTTTAAATAAAACCTGTGTTTTTAGACCTCTGTTTCTCCACCTACTTGGCTTGAATTTTCTTTGATGCGGTTGCAAATAATGCAGCCTGGTATGATGTACTTTAATCTTTATCAGACAGCAGATACACAGTTGTATTCTGTGATGACCAATCGATACATTGAGAAAGATAAAAAGACCAGAAAAGACTCTCTTGGGGAACCATACGACGGGCAATATAATAAGCAATGAACTAAGTCTTCAACATGACCATCTTGGCATATATACAACTTATCTTTAATAGGAATGTGCTGATACCCGCCCTCCAAATATGCTGTAGGAATCTCAATCCTGTGAATGCTTTTGTTACATTTGGAAATAAGATAATTCTGTAAATAACCAGAAATTATAATGTTCAAAAAGACTCCATACCATTAAGAGGACCAGTTATTATTTATTAATGTTCTATCCAAACAGAGTGAAATGTATAGACTTCTTTATGAAGACTGCTGAAACTCACAAGTAATGGCCTGTTGTTCGGATACTGAATATTGCCTCAACCCCTGCATACTGACTGTTCCATTGAGAACAGAACCTGTGTACATCTTGTTCTCTGCACCATGCAGGATGGCCTGTTGTACAGAAAGAGGCTATGTGCAAACATACGTTGTATGTATGCATCTTTCTCCAGTAGAAGAGCCATGTAAATTGGAGGACTGCTCTTCCCATTTAAGATAAAATAATGCTAGTTTCTACCCTGTACAAGGTAGAACTGAGACATTCTCTCCTGCTTGAGTCTATACTAGTTTCTGCCCTGTACAAGGTAGAACTAAGACATTCTCTCCTGCTTGAGTCTACAAAACAGGTCATCCTATTCAGGCTCAGTTCTGAGAAGGAGACCATTTAAATCCTTCACATTTCCTTTAAAGTATATAAGGCCTACATATGACCAAGGAATACAGGAACGGGGTGTGGAATGACATCTATTGATTACCTGCGTATTCTCCTCTGGAAACTGAGAATGCTGCAGCAATCTTCTTGGTTTCCTGATGGCTTGGAGGGGGCTCATAGCTGTCATCACCATTGTCTCCATTGGGAACCACATACTCTGAATCAGAGTGATCATCCGGATTCTCATAATCACTATTATCCTAGAAATAAGATATTGGTTGTTTTCGAATTAAGCTGTGACATTTTTCAGATACTACAGAACTAGGCTACTCTCCACAGCGTCCTTTAAGAAATAATCAGAATAAGTGAGCAATTACCTTTTTTAATAGAAGTCTTATTTTTACAAACAAACAAAAACAAAAAATATAGAATACATTACCACAATTATACATAGGCATCGTCTTATATGGACACGAACATATGTATAAACACAATCATTTACGGCCATCTACTTTATCTATTATATCTAATTCCTACCTAAAATACATACTATTTCATTTATTATAACTATCGAACAGAACTTACCTTGTTGCTGCATAAGATTTATTTATATAAACTCTAAATTTTCACTTCTTTTTTATCTATGTTCTATCTTTTCCTCATTACTTCATATCTAACATTCCATTAATACAAACATGTATTGCCTGATTCTATCTCTTAATCATTCTCCACTTCAACAATTCAGTCCTAGCTTTCAGCTATATAGTCAAAAAGCACATTCCATTTTTCTTGAAATTCTAAATCCAATCTAGTATGTAAGTAAGAGGTCAGTTTTGCCCTTGCCATATACTCAGTTAGTGAGCAATTATCTTGAGATCCTCGTGACTTGGTACTCACACTTTTTTTTACTGTAGAATCAAATGATTACATGCCTATGCAGGTGGCCAAGTACACATAAATTGGCATTCACAGAACTTTCATATTACCCTATTTTCTGCTCAGTGCAATGGTGTGGATCCCATGGTTGCATGTGTAATGATATGCACAGATATGGTTCTTTCCTACCCTCCACCCAGCAGCCCCCCTGAAACTTCCAATGCTGGAGCTTGCAGGACTCGTGAGCCAAAAGACATGTCTCCAGAGAGGGCTGCAAAGAGGAGGGAGAACCAGACTACCACAATTGCTGCATGATCCGAATTTCTTTCATCAGCAGAAGTACTGCTAAAGTAAGTAGAAAGGGAGAGGAATTTCACTGGGTTCCTCCATTTCACTTCATCCCTTGGTCTGCATGGCTTTTTGTACATGGAAGACCTGTTTTTCTGGGGTGTCAGCAGATAGCTGGGGGAAAGAGGAGTGTGGGAAAGAACTGGTTCACCAACAACTTCATAGATATCACTCTATGTATATCCACTGCATGGTGCTTTTTTGCCTCCTCTGCAGGAGTAGAAGGCCAGTGCTGCATTGCGGGTGTGAAAAGTAGCCTGAGATAGCCATATACAGGAGAAATGTGTACGTGTGCATAGCTACTGTTTGGTAGAAACAATAAAGAAAATACAATTCAACTGGAGGACAGTTTGCTGGTAGCATCTCAGATGGCTTTTATCCTATACAGAATTGCAGAAGTGGCCACAGAGGTGATTCAGGGATTGTAAGCAGGGAGGGCATGTGTCCCTCTATCCTTACCAGCAGGCCATGATGGAGATGGAAGCTACTGGCATCTGCAGATGGATGACTGCTGCTGGCCAGCAGTACCCAGCATTGTTGATGGTGTCACCACCATGCACATTGCACTTACGTGGTGATGACCTTGCCACCATGTCTCCAAGACTGCCGTGTGATAGTATCACAACTTACTGGTGACTGCCATTTGCCACTGCTGCACCGCTTCACTAGCCCTTCTTTTCTCCTTGTCTGCCTCCAATATGAACATCAACTTGAGACAAAATAGCGGCTTATTACGTTTTTGTCATCATTACCTCTCATTTCTACTTCACAGCCTCCAGAAAGATGCACAAACGAGATGAATGTGGGCTGGCAATTAGGAGAACGATCCTAAGAAGGTCTACTCAGAATCTTACTCAGATCTATTCAATGGGTCTTCCTTCAAGGGAACTATTCTTAAGATTGAACTGTAAAATTTCTTAACTGAAGAACAGATGGGTTGAAATGGTACTTTTCTAATTCTTAAACAGTATCTGGTGTTAGTGGAAAGTGCCATCAAGTCACAGCTGACTTATAGCAACCCCACGGGGTTTTCAAGGCAAGAGATGTTCAGAGGTGGTTTGCCATTGCCTGCCTCTGCGTCATGACCCTGGTATTCCTTGGAGGTCTCCCATCCGAATACTAGCCAGGGCCGACCCTGCTTAGCTTCCGAGATCTGACGAGACTGGGCTAGCCTGGCCTTTTGGGATAATTTCACCTTCAGCTCAGAAGAATGACAAGTTATGGGATAATGTTCTTTAGAGATCCTAAATTACAGACATTTGAATTTAGCTCTGCACGTATCTCAGCAGATTTGGTATTTTGTAAGGCAAGTAAAAGTAGATGATTTAGAAGTCATAACTAATAGGGTTGGATCCTATGAATCCATACAGCTAACAGCAGAACTTTCCTCCAGTGCAGGGAGTCTTGGCTCTTCCATTGAAAGAAGGCTCTTTTGTCCTGGAGGAAGGCTCCAGCATTAGCAGAACAATAAGCCCCAATCTGTGGTCATTTAACTGCAAGGTTGGATGTGTCATTTTTATACTCACAAAATCATCTGACCACTGTTCATCTTCCTCTCCAGGCTCTAAAGCAAACAATTGAATGAAGTCGTTAGCCAAAATCTTTGAAGAACATGCATGTTAACAACAAACTTTTTAAAAAACAAACCCAAACTTCACTTACAAATTCCTATTCTGAAATTTTCATAGTTTTCTAATTATATGTTGGACTGTATCCATACTGATTCTTAAACATCTCACTAGCTACTATATGCACTTTAGTGAAATGCCACTGATATCAGTGGAACTGAAGTAAACACTGAAATGTTTCATTCTTAAGCATACTTTGGGAAGTCAACCCTGTTATTTTCCATTTAAACTTGCTTAGTTCTGGGTTGCAATGGCCACTGACTTCACTGGGCCTCAGGCATGTCTATAATTTGCTCGGTTAAGCTATCATTTCACAGCTAATGATTGACAATAACTTTAGGACTGCCTACTATGAATTTTAAAATATCAATAAGGGAAGATGCTATTCCCCAAACACTGAAGGGAACCAGAGAAGTTAACAACTGAATGAATGATACAACTATTGTGCAATAAACAGAAGCTGACCCAAATTACAGCTGAATAATTTAACTGAACAACTGACAGTACGATCCCTTCTAAATCCACAGGCTTAGGAGGGTGTAACTCTGTTTAGGATTGCACTGTGAATCACTAACAGTTCAAGATGATAACTGAAGCCCAAATTATACATAAGTAATCCAAATGCAATGAAAAATATGCTGAGTTGCTCATCTTATTTGTAAAAAACAGATCTTATTGTTACTCCCTTCTAGAATTTGCTCTTTCAACAACAACAAGATTACTGTGTTTATAAGTTCTTACAGCCATTGTACTTTTTATGATACAAAAATATGCCAGGAGTTATGCTTGAGGATGATCTTTGAGAACTGCATGGCATCCACAATTAACATTTTATGAGAAACAATGTTTTTGTACCCTCTTTTGTTGCTGTCAATATTGCGAGGATGAAAGCAAAGCCCTGTCCCTTACACCATGTAACTTGCTGGCTGAAGGAGGGAAAGGCAAATGGTTCAAGCAAGGACATGTTGGTAACAGCCACTTGGTCCAGGAAATCAGGTAAGACCAAAGAGTCGACCTTATGCCATCCTCTGATATAAACATTGCAGATTTGCTGCATTCTTTGCAGTTCAGGCGTTTTGTACACGTGGGATGCTGTAAGATTATTCCTCTGTGCTTATAGAGTACGGCCTTCCTGCCAACTTGTCCCAAGGTCCTTACCTATTCATGAGTGCCTGACCTGGATTTTGTTTCTGGATCACCTGCAACCTGGAACTAGACATATTTACTAAGAAGTCTCCATGAGTTTAATTGGTCCTATCCTTACGCAGGGGGTACACACATAACTGTAGCCTTAGTTCTTCCTTCCAATGCAAGGCAGCCCATCCTCCCCATTCCACCATCCTGTAGCTGCAACAGCTATGTGGTGCTAATGATTTCCTTACTCCTGTAGTGCAGGGTTGTCAATCTTCAGGTGGTGGCTGGAGATCTCCTAGGATTACAACTGATCTCCAGGTGACAGCGATCAGTTCACCTGGAGAAAATGGCTGCTTCGGAAGGTGAGCTGTATGACATTATACCCCATTGCATTCCCCACCCCCCAAACCGTGCCCTTCTCTGGTTCCTACCCCAAATCTCCCAAGCCGGAGCTGGCAACCCTACTGTAGTGGCACAAGTAATGCCCTTTGTGGGAAGCCAAAAGTTCTTGCCAGCATGAGTCACAGAAAGAGGCTAACTCTTGGCAGAAATCCACATTCTTGAAGAAAGCCAGCATCTCATATGACAAATGGGCAGTAAGGCTGAACTAAGGAGGCACCCTGGGAAAAGGTCCTCCACTTTGAGTAAAGGGCACCCAATGCGGCCCTTTCTTAAGCTTCATTTTCCAGCGGCCAAAGATAATCACTGTTTCCTGAGGCATCATTAGCACCAGACTGAAATTCACCTCCAGCTGTTCTCTAGCAAGATAGATTCAGGTGTTGGTCTGAAGCAACAGAACAAAGTTGAACTCCAGTGGCACCTTTAAGATCAACAAACTTTGTTGGGTCTTAAAGGTTCCACTGGACGCAAACTTTGTTCTGTTGTCTAGCCAGCGTCCTCGTAATCAAGTTACTGCTTGTTACTGTTTTAACATCAGGTGGAGGTAGATTTCTGTGGTCGCATTTTTCACTTCTGGAAGGATAATTATGATCTTATTTTAGTGAATGTCATTTAGCAACTAGTGGGTCCAACTGGCTAGACCTGGGTTCAAACTCCAGCTTGAGCCATGAAGTTCACTAGATGACTTCGGACCAGTCATTTGCCCACAGCCTAATCTACTTCACAGGGTTGTTGTGAGAAAAGCAGTAAGATAATCCTATCCCTGTATGACACCCTGAACTCCTTGAAGGAAAGGTGGGATATAAATGTGAAGAATGAATGAAGTCACAAGGCTGCAGTATTATACATATAATGGAGCCAGGGGAGGCAGTTGACTGAGGTGGCAGATTTTTTTTGCGGGGGTGTGGGCAGCAATGTCCCACCTTCCCATCTCCTCCATGACCACTTCATCTGCCTTGCCTCTGCTGTGACTCTCCTCATCCACAGCCTCTTCCAAGCCTCTTTCGAAACCGCATTACACACCACATATGACCAAGATTCCTCCTCTCATAAAAGTTTAGCCACTTTCTTACAAGTGTTTGTGAAGGCCTGCGGAGTATTCTGGCCCGCCATGCTGTTTTTAAAGACGTTCAGGAGAACAAGGAGGATTAACTTGCTCAAGCTCCTGAGCGGAGGTAGCCACTTGCCTCAGAGGGCATTACGAATTCAGACAGCTCTGTCCACAAGCCACATATGATGAACTGTGAGAAGAGGGTGAATGAGGGTTCAACCATAAGGGAGCTGCTTGTCAAGTGACTCCTGCAAGATTTAAGTAGCCCAACTACGTGGGTAAGGGCTGATCACTCAGGTCCTCTCAATGGAATCAGAACACTCCAAAGGAGAAGCTGTCCCCTACTTTTGTTGCTTATATATATGCAGAATGTATGGCTCTGCTACCCAGACTGTGACTAGCATTATGTCTGCATCAGTCCTAAGGCCCAAACACATCTTTAACATTTTCATATCCATACCTGGTACATAATCTACTGGTGGAACACTTGGTGGCGGTTTACTTGTCAGTCTGCAAACAATATAGACATCATATTTAATTTCTGAACCACAGAGTAATAGCTGCTTACCAACAAGAAGAGGCAAAACAAAAATCCAGACAAATAAACCCCCAGCCTTTAATGACAAAAGACTGGAAGTTGATGAGAAATGTTTGAGACATTTAGTACGACAAAAATAAAAATGCAAACCGATCTCTTGTTTCTTACAGCCGTTCTGAACACACACAAGAAGACAAATGGACAGCTAGGCAGGTAAGTGTAGAATGAGTGTTAGTTACAAAGCCAAACAAGGGAACGTGTTGGTTCTGGTGGATCTACTCGTGGTGAAACTGTCCTCTGGTGCAAGGAGCCTTCTCCTACACAGAAGGGTCTCTTCCATCAGGGGAAGGACCCTTGCACTGGAAAAATGCACCACTGCGATTGGAAGATTCATGGGATGCAGCACAGTGTTTGGTACACTACGTGTCATGCAGCCCTTATGTTATATCTGCAATCTGAGATTTGATATGTCTCAATTTCTTTGTGTCTTCTGAGCCACAATATGATCCTTCTCAAAACTGATTTTCAGTGTCATCTTTCAAAAGATATTGATGGGACTTCTCCAAGGTAAATCCTCAATAAGCAGCTTTGTACTGTTGAAGTAACTGTTGTAGCTGAAGTTCCCCAACAAGTGCTAAGGTTGAGATTTTAGGGCCATAGACTTAAAGGGAGCAATATCACTTGTCCCCAGGTGAGAGTGCTACCTCTTCTTAAGAATTAAGATACTCTGCAGATACACAGGAAGACACTCACAGAGTTGGTTTTCTCTCTATGTACAGCCATACTATTTTATCCTTACAATTTGAAACCATAAACATTTTCCTTTTTGTTCAGGGATGTTAAAATGCTGTTTGTTTATTACACCAGGAATACATTTAATGTTGGCCTACAGATTTTCTGTTATGTTATTCATGTCAGATTCTTGATACTATAATTATCAATCGCATTCTTGAGTTGATGTGTTCAAAGAAACCCCTCTTTGGTACTTTAAATATTATTTGAAATGTAAATGCATTCTTTCACCATAATTAACATGTTTACATGTTTCATAGAGTTGCTGAAGATGCACCCAGGGCCTAATATGAAAGGTTGCACCAAGGAAACAACATAAAGTCTTCTTTCCAGTGCCAATGTTGTGAGATTAAGACAAGCAGGCATGAGAGTGCACATTTTATAGATCCCGCTATGGATTTTCATTCTCAAGATGTCTTATTGCCAGCTGTCATACTGCTGGAAATTCAAAATGAATAACAGGGCAAAATTATTCTAGTTCCTGCAGTGCGTCCTTGACAGCAGCACATCTTCTCTCAACTCACACGAACATGTTAGAAAGCAGACTCCAGGGCCACAGCCAAGAATGATGGATCTATCCTTGATGAGTGGATTCTTCCTGCATATTAAATTTAGAAAAAGTTGCCAGTGCTTTAATCCAGGTGCTAAAACAATTCTCCATTAAGCACCAGATTTGAGCATGAAACACATTTTCCTCTTAGACTGACTAATGTCTTTTGGGGGCTGGGGATGGTCACATGAAGCTGCCTTATACTGAATCAGACCATCAGTCTATCAAGGTCAGTACTGCCCACTCAGGCTGGCAGCAGTCCTCCAGGGTCCCAGGCATTAATCTTTCACATCATCTACTGCCAGGTCTTTTAACTGGAGATGCCAGGGATTGAACCCGGGACCTTCTGCATGTCAAGCAGAAGCTCTACTACTTAGCCACGGTCCCTCCCTCTTTTCATCTAATCTGTAATATGACAATAGTCATCCGAATTATTTACAGGTTTGGCAATACATAACCTCTTTCTATAGAAATCTCTGCCTTCTTGACTCTTATAAACACTTCAGTTTCGCAGGGCCGGCAAAATAGAGCTGTTCTGCAAGGCCTTTGGTTGAGGCAGTGGGCGTCCACCAGTTGGCCTCCCTGCTGCAATCTGGTAATGTTATACTGCCAGTAATAAGATTTTTATGGTTCGGCTGTGACCCATTCATTCCCAGCTACTAGGACCACTGAACATGTGATTTGTTGCAATGCCTACCTTTTAACTGCTTTAACTGTTTTATTGTTCTGGTTAGGGCTGCCAAACTGCGGCGGGGGATCTGAGCGTCGTCACAGGATCCCTGCCGCGGGGGGACATACTCGTTGCACCGCCGTCGCCAGGATGTGACGCTACGTGTCGCTCTGGCAACAGGGATCCTGTGACGACGCTCAGATCCCCCACCGTGGTTTGGCAGCCCTAGTTCTGATATTTATCTCTTTAACTGTTTTAATTATTATAATTTTGTTGTGACCTGCCCTTAGCCCACTTGCGGGAAAGGTGGGATACAAATCTAAATAAACAAATAAACAAGTTTATAATCTGCAGGATCCTGAATGATCAGACGATATGTTTTTCATATGGGCTAATCTGCTAAGAATATTTGACAATGGAGAATCTTCAGTATTGGGGGTTGTGTTACCACAAAATACCCACAGAGGCTGGCCACAAGTCTTCCAACACAGTTGCATGCCACAGAGAACCATGCCCGATCAGGATGTACCCATATTAAACACATGCCTGAAAAACATCCTTCGAAGTAGTGCACCGTAAGTTTTCAGCATGCATCACAGAGGTACAGGGCAAGTGCTATGCAAGGGAACCCTCAGATGAAATGAACATTCATGTTCTCTGTACTCCTGACATTCTATGCATAGAGAGTGGAAAATTACAGATAAGGGGTCTAGCATTGGTTAGGCACCATAAAGGAACTGAATGGAAGGCACAGGAGAGATGAGACCATGCTTCTAAATGCTGTTTTGGAAATCCTGGCTGTGGTCCTTGCAGAAAACACAAACATCATCACACAGAAAGCAAGCAACAGAATTCCACGCTGGACAACCAGGAGGTGTGCAATTCTAAATCATCATACCGATCCCAAGTATTTTTTCCAGTTTTGCATATTAAGGCCACTTGTTCATTTTGGAACCTAAACATCAACGGGAGAAAAGGAGAAAAAAGAAAGAAATATTTCTCAAGCAGGATAGATTTCTTAGGTTATGAAACTTCTGCCTATAATGGCTGATCTTACAAATGGAACTAAGCCACAAGTGCATGCTGATGGTATTTGTATACCATCATACCCACAACAAACAAGAGGGTTGGCAGTCCAGTGTAATGAACTGCTACCCCAAAAAAACATAAGGGAAAAGCCCCTGTGTATCTGTGTGTCTCTTGAAACAAGTACTATACACTCGGTTCTTCTAGACTGCAGCTTAACAGGGCTGAGCCACTGTCAGGTCATGATGCACGCTTGCTCACTAGTTTAAAGAATCACAGTCATAGATCTTTTATGAAACTGGTAATAAAGAACAGAGTAGCCATCCAATCAGGAAAAAAGTCTAGCCTCCTTTGACTGCTGCTTGATTGGCAGCGGTCAGCAGGTAAAGTTTTTCATGGCATGGTCATCAGATTAATCTGCTGTCACTCTTTGCTGATGAAATTCCTGTTGAAGGCACAGGAGCCAGGTCCTGTAAACATGTTGGTGACCTTATAATAAAGGAACTTCCAAATAACTAGCAAAGTGACAATGAAAACTGGTGAACTAAAAAGTTAAAGGTTTGCACTGTGGATTATATGATCCTGTACCTATATAAGGGAATATAGCAAAGGTAAAGGTTTTCCTTCCTCGAAAGCTGGTTGAATCCAACTCTAGGGACCGGTGCTCATCTCCGTTTCAAAGCCAAAGACCCAGCGCTGTCTGAAGACATTTCCGTGGTCATGTGGCCAGCACGACTAAATGCCGAGGCACACAGAACAAAATGGTACCTATTTATCTAGTTGCAATTTCTTGCTTTCAAACAGCGTACAGGCTTTAATAACTGTTCTATTGCTTGCAAAAGGTTGCTAGATAGTGATTCCATGATGAATCACCAGTTCCCCTTTAGTTGTTCATTTAAGTTGCAATTTATTGCCCCTTTCAGTCCTGCTTCCTCTTTCTTTGCATGCTTCAGTTAATGTTCTTGATTTAGCCCCACATACTAGAGAATCACTGTACAGTCAGCATGCAAAATGTCACAGTTTTCCCAGCAATAATTTTTTTTACAGTGCTTGAAATGGAACAAATAGGCAGAAGGTTAAGGAATTACCCAGGTAGAAAACACAATGGTAACCTTTGTCAGTTCAAACTCCCTCTTCTTTTGTTAAAGGAAGTCACATATTTTATATTCGGTCTTGCTAGAATTTGCAAAATCCCCTGCTCATGTATCCCAACTTTTCAAATTGCTAAACATGCGCTGATTGCTAAATATGTGAGTCTTCCCACAGAAGACCTTTCCTACAATGTTTACCATGTGGTTACTGAATCAGGGTCTTGCTAACTCAGAGGCTTGCAGCTCCAGCAATGCAACCCTTACCAATCAGTCCAACCCTGACTGCTTTTAAGTTTTCCACAGAAGGGAAAAGAATACGAAACACAGCTTTCTCATATCACTTTAGCCCTGTGATAAGTGAAGTTACCATCTCATGACATTGTCCTTTAGATGAAACTTTTAAAATGGCTTCAGCCTTCAACACCTGGCTAGAGAAAAGCCTGACTGTGCCTATCATTTCTGATTATTTCCTTTTTTTGTACAGATACATGCTCTCCTTTCCCACTTCTAGATGATTTGCTGCTGCATAGCCAACACCTGAATTAGTGATCTACTGACATCTCATTCATCAAAGCAACTGTACCTACAGGGAGCAAAAGTTCTAACAGGACCCAGACATGCCTCCTTGTGTAGCAGATGCTAGTGACCAATAGTAGAGGAAGGGTGCATCATTTTCATATTGTACTTCTAAACATCTGGCTGTCTGTCTGCTGCTGCTGGAAACAGAATGCTAGATCAGATCCGCTCCAACAGGGGGGGGGGGGGGGGGGGGGGAGGATAGTCCACATATGCCAGTGTTGTTAGAGCTGATAAAAGGTCTATTTCCTAAACCAGGGACAGGTTTTGGTTTTATTAGGGAAAAGGTAGTAATTTCAAGAAGAACATATAAGTACAATAAGAAGGGCAATAAGACATGATTCTGGTTCTAAGAAGCCTTTCTGCAGTCATCTATATTTAGACAACTGTTTCAAGGTTAAACAGAGTGCTAAGTACGCCCACGACAGAAACATTCCTTCTAGTTCTCCCTGAAGTTAGCAAAGCCATTTACTAATCATGCCTATTGCAACATAATTTTGAGATGAGTTGTTATCATGCCATTATGAGTGATCATGAATGCTTATCGTTATCCCATCATAGTTTGGAGGCAACTGTTCAAATGCAGAAATATCAAAATAGACTGTCAGTAAAGAGAACCGCATCCAGTGATTGAAGCAAAGAAGTAAATCTAGAAATGAACTTTTAATTATATTTGATTTTCTTAAAATCAGGCAGTCATAGATAATTTAACTGGTATCCTATCAGGGCTAAGATGGATAGTTACTATTATACTGATTGCTTTGCCAGGCATTGGGAAGAGAGGATGTATACATGGCAGAGAGTGCAGACACAGGCATGCTGTACCCCATGTGGTGTCCCTGATCGTGGAGGTTGGGCCACCTACTGTCCATGGGCATTGTACGGCTTCATTTTTCAGCAGGGGAGAGAAAAGCAGACACTCATTCATATGGGAGACAGGCGAGGGAAGCCCTTGGGGACATCTTTGGTTAGAGGTTAGACCTGCTTCTGATTACTCCAGTGTCTGAACTGAGAGCCAGGTTTTGCCTCCTCTCAGCTGTGTTTCAGATTCCACATCATGTCTCTGCCTGAACCCACTTGCACCGCCCTTCATCTACAAAGCCCACCAAGGATCATTCTTTTTTTGGTGCAAATCCTGATTGTTATGGAACCCTGTGGACCCTCTTTTGCATATATTTACTAGCTAGTAAATTTAACCACCACAAGAAGGATGGGGAGGTCCAATAATTTCCCTCTCCCCACTTGCCCACCCACTCCTGAACTGGAAAAGCTGAACTGACTTTATTCCTTACAATAGTGTTCATCAATACTGGGCAAATGCCCATCCTTATGCTAAGCAAAGCGAGGGGCAGTCTTAAGTCAGGGGCATCTGGGGCTTCTGCTCCAGGCCTCACACTGGGAGGGGCACTTTGGGGGCCTCTAGTACTCTGCAGCCAACTGGTTCCCCCATGCTACCTGCTGCCTGATACTCAGGAAGGAATTAGCTGTAAGGCCATGGGGGCCCCTAACCACCATACAGCTACTTCCCCATGCTGCCCAAGACCCAAGGTATGAGGGAGAAGGTGATCAATCCACCACTGCACGTCTGTCATCCCCCTTCCCAGCTGTGCTGCCTGATTCTGGGGCTCAATCCTCGAGTTTTGCGTGGTACCTCAGAATCACTAAGATCACCCCTAAGCAGAATGTGTATACAGAGGGTGGACCTATTCAATGTGCCACTGATGGACTTACTGGTGTCCTTGTTCAGTACAAGTTTTGCTCTCTCCCCATTGATGTTCCCAAGTGCAGATTTGTTACTTTCCTTTAGAAAAATAAATGGCAGCCCTGCCATGATCGGGAAGAAAACGATGAATGCATCTGAGGACACCACCAAGGGGCCCTGCCCCTCCATCTCAATAGTCTTGCCTTGGGTTCTGTTTCAAGGTTGGAAACTGATATATAATTTGTTGTTATTAATACAATACTGAGTGCAAAATGCCAAGTTTGATGATTACATAGCAGAACAATAGGGCTTCTGGCACTTGAGACCCCTATGTACCACAATCAAAAAATTAAAGTAAAACTTTGAGTCATATAAATTACTGATGTGCATTACTTACTTTTTGAACTTGCTCATTATCCCACTATCATTTTTCTTGATGTCATGCACTATCTTCTGAAGTTGCCTGAAAGCAAGAAATCAACAAGACCTTTGATCAGGTTGTACTGTGCATTACAATGTACACAGATGGAGACATTAAAAAGTATGTTTGCCATTGTTATGTTCCTTTGCCAACAGCACTTCCCTTTCTTTCACACTCTTTCTGTTTGCAGATAAGCTTGTTCCTCTGAAAAGCCAGTGGTTATCTCCACTGTGGATGAGAAAAGTGCATCACATCGAGTATTCTGTAACTGTGCAATTTAAATTTAGCATCCAAAGTGCAACAGTACAAAATGTCAAAATACTCAGATGACAATAATTCAGTCTGTTTCACTGAGTCACTTCTTAGAAAGTGGATTTATGATTTTCCTTTTACTTAGAAGGGTGTGAATCTGCTTAACATTACATTGCCAATCACTACCTTAATCAATTAAAAGTTCAGATTGCTTAGCAAGAGTTAATGTTAATTGGTGGCGCCATGATTCAATAGCCCAGGCAAGCCCGATCTCATCAGATCTCAGAAGCTAAACAGGGTCAGCTCTGGAAGACCTTCTTGGAATATGAGCAGTCAGTGTGATGCAGTGATGAAACAGGCTAATGCAAACTTGGGGTGTATCAACAGAGGCATAACATCCAAATCGCAAGATGCCATAGTCCTGCTGTACACTGCATTGGTCAGGCCACACCTGGAGTATTGTGTGCTGCTCTGGAGGCCTCACTTCAAAAAGGATGTGGACAGAATGGAGCCCGTGTAGAGGAGAGTGATGAGGATGATTGGGGGCCCGGAGACCAAGCCCTATGAGGAAAGGCTGAGGGACTTGGGAATATTTATTCTGGAGAAGCGGAGGTTGAGGAGGGACATGATAGCTCTCTTTAAGTATTTAAAGGGCTGTCACTTAGAGGAGGGCAGGGAGCTGTTCCTGTTGGCAGCAGAGGAGAGGACTCACAATAATGGGTTTAAATTAAGGGTGGGAAGGTACTGGCTGGATATTAGGAAAATCTTTTTTACAGTAAGAGTTGTTCAACAGTGGAATCAGCTGCCGAGGGAGGTGGTGAGCTCCCCCTCACTGGCAGTCTTTAAAAGCAGCGGCTGGACAAACACTTGTCAGGGATGGTCTAGGCTGATCCTGCATTGAGCAGGGGGTTGGACTAGATGGCCTGTATGGCCCCTTCCCACTCTGTGGTTCTATGATTCTATGAATACCAGCAGTCGGGAGACAGGGGCAGGCTTTATTCAGCCACCTCTCTGAATATCCTCCAGGCCCCCAGTAGGGGTCAGTCACCAGAGGACGCCATGACTTCCAGGTGCACACACACACACACGAAAAATACAACCCCCCCAGCACATTTGTGTATTATTGTGGGGTACTGGGTGTGGACTAGTGGTTAGTAAATAACTAATTAATTATTAATCCTACCAGTCCTTGGGGTTCAAGGCAGCCTACAACAATAGTTAAAAACATTTCCAGTTAACATCAAAATAAAATAACAAACCACAAATCTCTCCTTCTCTCCCCCTCTTAAAAGATGCCTGCCAATGCTAACCTCCTCAAAAGCCCTAGGAAGCAGGTAGGCAGGCAGGCAGGCAGGCAGGCCTTGCAGAACCTCCTGAAGATCAGCAGAGAGCCGCCTCCTTTCAGGGAGCCCATTCCACAGAACAGGAGCCAGCAAATGGCATCACCTTCATCCCTGCCGTTAGTGATGTCATCCCCTCCACTCCCGCAGTGGCTTGCCTGCTCACAAACTAGGATTCAACCTCTGGGTTGGATCCCATGATCCATCAATGGAAGGTGTTGACACTAATTTTCCAGGCTTTCCCCTCCCTCAACAGCAGATCTTTCAGAACCCAAGGAAGTTTATTTCCAGGGTTGTGGAACTCTAATGAAGCAATAGCCGTGCAAGTTGGGTGGCTGAAGTGAGGGAGGGGACTAAGGTGAATTCACTCCTTCCTGCCTCATCTGTGAGCGGACCTGTGCACAGTAGGGGAAGAAAGGAGCAAGTTCACCCCCTTTCCCCTTCTTACTATAGCCTCCCAGCCTGTATGGGTATTACTCTGGGAATATGACCCTGGGAATAAACTTTCCTGTGATCAGAAATGGATGCTTTGAATGCCAGGAAGATCTGTAATTTTTACATGCTTCTCCCACACTCCTCACACTGAATCCAACTCAGGGTTTGCCTACCTTGTTTTCAAGGGTAACCCAAACCATAGTTTGCTGATTTGGGGCATGATGGCACATCATGGTTTGCCGAGAAAGCATCAGTATCTAGTTAGACTGCTAATGTGAGAAGGGAAGAGGAAGTGTGTGAGCCTAAGGATCCCTTGGGCTTTTTCTTATAGCAGCAAATTATGGTTTGCTGAACCATGGTTTGCTGAACCATGGTTTGCTGAACCATACCTCTCTATGTGTACTGTCTATATTCACTCTTCATATCAGCCTTCCCTACCAGAGCTCAGAAATGAGAGAAAAAGATTACAGACCAGAACAAGGGGAGGATAGCCAGCTGGAAGTGGGCTATAACTAGTAGTGCCGCAATGTCTGAAGTAGAAAAGGCTGTGACTAACAAAGGGAGCTTTGACTCTCAGAAGCTCATACCCTGAAACTCTTGTTGGTCTCCAAGGTGCTACTGGACTCAAATCTAACTGTTTGATTGCAGACCAACACAGCTACTCTCTAAAACTAACATCTAAAGTGGGGGCCTATAACCGGACTTTTTCAAATCATTGTGCCTTGGATCCAGTGATGTGCAAGCAGAAACATAAACAAACTTAGCACAGTTTCGCTTGTGCAAGACCTTATGCAACACCTAATATCTTCCTCCCTATCTTATAGTGCCAGAAATTGATTGCAAAAGATCTTGCAGAACAGAAGGGCAAGTAGGAATACAATCTGTTTGACTTAGTGCAGGCGGCATTTTCTTGCGTTTTCCTTTACACAGGAATCCTAGTGCAAGTGAAATTTTGCACTAGATCCAACCCACTCTTTCTCTCTCTGCCATAAAAATCTTCACTTGGTAATCCTTACAGACTGGGCTGCTGTTGAACCCCAAGCTGTTCCACCACCACCCCTACTCCCTGCGGGCCACCTCAAAGCCTGGAAACCCAAGATTAACCACAGGCACCTCTCCACACTGCCGAAGGATGGCGGCATGTCTCTGCTTAACTTGCCCTTCTACTTTATCATTGTGGAAAGGCATGCAAGTTCTGGTCTCATAAATCAAGACCATTTTGATAGAGCAGGACTGCATGCAGGCAGTGACAGAGTAATTACCATTCAGATGGTATTTATTTTGGTTGTCCTGCCTTTTAGTTTGGTATAAACAGGTGTGCAGGTGCAACAGTGAGAAATTAACAAAAAAAGGATTACAGCTTCTGAACAATGAATGGAAGCTTGCACATTCCCAGTGCAGTCTACAAATGCACTGGAAGTTTGAAATATCCAAATAAATACTTCCTTGTATTAACACCCATCATTTCAAAAATGGAACAGAGACCAATAGTAACATTTTGTCAAAACACATTCTGTCCATCAAATGTTTTTCAGCAGGCAGATATCTCAGCATTACGTCAACCCCACCCCTTTTAAAACACACACAGAATCTCCACAGTTAGTTTGTTGATGCTAAATTATCTAAATCAGATCTCCCCCCCCCCCAACTCAGCTAGGAGAGAAGCACCATTCAAGTGCAATGCTGATCAGGTGGGACAGAATGTTGGTCTTGAAGCTTTCTGACAGATGATTTGCACTGCTAGAGCTGACACCAATCACCACATGACTGATGTGCAGGCAGTCTTTGGCTGGTTAAGCCTAGGTTGGGACACACGCCTGCGATGATTGAGTTTGATCCATTGATTCCCTTCTACCAGACTGGATCCAACAATTCCCTTATGCCAAGTCCTCTTCCAAATGGAGACATCTTCTAGTGGCAGAAAAAGTCTACACTGCCCAGAGGGAGTCTTTCTCCATTGGATAAAAGCTTTCTGGAAGGGAAAACTGAGTTCAGTTTAGTGGAAGGAAGTCATTGAATCCAACACACTGCTTTTTATTCTTGCAACATAATTTTAGACAAAAGATGCGTTCTTTCCTTCTTTTTCAATCCCATACATATTTACCTGGAAATAAGCCCCACTGCAAAAAATGGGACTTCTTTCTGAGTAAACAAGAATAGGAGTAGGAAATTATAGGGTTGCCAACTCCTGCTTGGGAAATACCTGGAGATTTGGGGGTGAAGTCTGAGGAGGCACTTCAGTGGGGTAAAATGCCATAGAGTCCACCTTCCAAACAGCCATATTCTCCAGGGGAACTGATCTCTGTCATCTGAAGATCAGTTGCAATTCTGGGAGAGCTCCAGGCCCTACCTGGAGCTTGGCAACCCTAGATATTAGGGATGATACACTTTCTGATATATATTTAGTTGCCATAAATATGTATGCTGATTCCTGAAATACAAAAAGGCTCAGCATTTTAAAATGCGGCCATCACTATCAAAATTGTGAGATCACAATTCAGAACAAGACTGACTGTTTGTGTTTACTTAGCAGAAGGCAGCCTTGCAGAGAGTTTTTTTTTAATATGAACAAATATTCAAAGTTGTAATCCCCTATGTGCAGTCGTGGCACAGCCCATTCTACCATACCAGTAATCTACCCCCTCTTTATTTAGCTTGTGTGAACAAGGCCTTAAGACTGTAACTTCCCAACTGAATAGCTTTTCTACCAGACAGACAAAGCCATACCAGGGGAACTGATCTCTGTCATCAGACAAAGCCACAGGTTTGCATTTATTTCACACCAAAGGATCTATAAGATTGCAATATATCCAGTTTTACTGCTCTGCTGGCACAAGTCTAATTTGGTGTATGCCAATGCGTATGTGTTCTGAGGGCAGGACTTCCTCTAAGTAATGACAGGTGTAAATACTGAACTTGAGGAAGTGCCTGTCGTTACAAAAGCACCGCATGTTGTTGTCCTAGTATACAGAAATGTTTTACCTTCTGATTTGGGGAGTAAAGAAAACAAGTTGA